CCAACTAATTAAATGGCCCGCTGATCTTTCTACAGCTAAGAAATGGTCCATCCCGGCATGCATAAAATGTCTTCAGCATGACTCATTTTCAGAATTAGGCAAACAAATAGTTCACCGAATATGGGAAACTTTAGTGATGAGGAGGAAAAAAAAAAAAAATATGGCGGTGCGCAATTTTGCCCAACTAAATCGTATTAGAATCACATCAGAAAAAATATATAAATTGATGAATATATAGTAGTCTAAAATTTTGGACAATACCAATTATAAGTTTTTTTTTTTTTTTTTTTTTTTTCCTCCTAAAAACATCCTCTAAATTAATATATATTCTTTGGAGGATAGGTATCAAACATTTGAACTAAATTCTTGAACCGGAGGCTTATCATACATGTAGTTTGAATTTTGATCTGTTGGCCTTATCGGTCTGATGCTTAGGTCGCATCCGAACTACATTGTAGAAATCCTCGAAGTCGATGGAGACAGTCAAGAAAACAGAAAAAATAAACGCCATCGCCAAATCATTTTCGTGTCTTAATTAATATCTAATTAATCATATCATGTCACGTTGTGTAAAAAATTTAAATTGTTTTATATTAAATCTTTTGTATAATTATTATGTAATGATGTAGTATAATTTAATTAGTTAGACACCGTTTAAATACAAAAAATTGTACAGAAGATTTGGATCCCCATGTGAAAGGTATGGAAATCTGAAACTATATAAAAACAAGGTGGTTACCGTACACGTAACAATTACATTGGACGTGGCATTTACGTATCTTAGAATCACAAAATATGAATCATCTGAGCATTGTCAGAAAAAGAAAGTGACAGAAAGCACTTCTATTTGGACCACGTGAGAAAATATTAATTACAAATTTGCAATGGATCTTCATAATGGCTGTTAGTTTTCTTACTTGATATGTTAAGTTAGGGACCGGACGAGATGGCAGAATATATGATCTTATAGAACAAAGCCAATTTCGTATCCTTATTAATTATAATTCTAATTGAATATGTTTCTCTTGTCCGATGGCTACATACAGATCACTCTCATGTAAAGTCTTTTTCTCTATATGAATTAATGAGGAATTATATATATATATATATATATATATGAATGAGTTTTTAATGATTATGTCTGCTCGGTAGAATATTTGATTTTTATAGAACAAACCCAATTAATTTCGTATCCTTATTAAATATAGTTCTAATTGAATAAGATTCTCTTGTACCATAAATTAATTTCGTATCCTTATTAATTATAGTTCTAATTGAATATGAATCTCTTGTACCATGGCTACATACCCTTATGAATTAATGAGGAATTATATATATATATATAATATGAATAATGATTACGTTTTCATGGTCACCATCAAATATAAAAATTTAATAATGTAACGTGATAAGAATTTAATTTCATTAATTGTCATAATATTTTTTAGTCACCTATTCAACTTATTACAATATTTAACTTGGCCAAACTGCTCTTCGATTGTTCATGCGTTTTAGGTATGTACGTAACCATAGTAATAGTACTATCTATTATCACGCATTATATATGTGTATATGTATTCAGTAGGGCCAAAGCTTTATACTATATATATATATATTAATTATTGCTTTCAGCTTAATCCACAGCACTTCTAATTTAGAAAATTCCACAAGGCTGCAAAGGGGAAACTATTTATATTGGATTTTTGAAAGTAAAATATTTTCTTAAAAGTTTTTTACTTCGTATTTTGAGAACTACTCATTGTTTAATCTATATAATATGGAGTGATTGCGGATTTTGGATACCATGAATAATAAATTATCTGTAGTATGTCCAAGTACAAAACTGGCTTCCAACCTTAAGATGATCGTATTCACACTCACACACACACACATATATATATATATATATGTATATATATACACACACATGTTCATGTATAGTCACGTGTTATTTTTCGTGTATTGTCACGTTCAGGTCGATCTCATGCAGCATTATAATTATGTCATGATCATTCACGTATATATATATTGGGATCAGTATATAAATTGTGACTCAGAAATTCTCTCTTGGGTGTGGTCCAATTTTTACTCAAGAGGAAACCCCACCAGGATCCTATGTATTTGATGTTGATGGCAAAAATTCTCTCCTTTTTTTCATATAAATTATAAGCATGCAAGTACACAAAATATATTTCTCATTATTTTGTCATGTGGACTTTCCTTGTTTAGTTGGTGAGATAATTATCTTGTTATGCTTTATGAACAAGAGTATCTATATAATAGTTATATATATGTGATCTATACATCATGACAATAAATAATTATTAAAGGAATCAAACACATAAGACCAGTAAATAAAATAATAATAATAATAATTCATTGCTCGATGAAGATCATGGGCTCTATTTTATATTTGAATAAGATGTTCTCTTTTCCTCTCTTGTCATTTACTAAAAAAAAAATGTCATACATGATTCCTTTTTTGGCCTTTTAGAGATAATTAAAGACTACTATATGAAATATATATATATATATATATATATATATATAAACAAGTATCAGCCCTATAGTTATTAAAATATTCTCTTCTTTTTTGCCGGCCAAGACCTTTGCACCGTTTTCCAATCGCGCATGGTTTTTATATATAAATCTATGTCCCTCATCAACTTTTTTTCTTTATGATCGCAGAAATGTTAGACCAGCAGCTGCCGTATAAGCTTGTCTTCCATTTGAGAAGAAGAATGACTTGTTGTATCTCTTTTCAGCAACAAAATTCATACGCAAATTAGGTTTAAATCATGTCCACACGAGGCAGCTTCTATAGGTGAGTTAATTTCAACAAAACGACCTGTTGAAAACATCACACTAGTGTTTAGTAATAGAGTTTCAAAGCCTAACACATAATATGCGGGACCGGCACATGCCTAGTCTAAAATGGGAACATAACTTCCACATATATATAGAAGCAATATTATTATTTAGAAAATTAATTTAAGAGGCCTATTAAAAAAAGTTGTTGATTTTGTGTGATATCTATTCTTTTTGTCCAAAAATTAGGCATCGTTCATTTCGCTTGTTGGAGTTAAGAATTTGAGTTAAAATGTGAATTCATGTGAGAGAAAATACTATAGTAAAAATAGTTGAATTTAAATTTTTGTGAGAGAAAATACTGTAGTAAAAAACTTAATCAGTTATGATTTGAACTACTGAAATGAAAGAGAATTTGTGATTGATTAAAACCTTAGATAATGATGACCACATTATTATCACGTAATCATGTGTAGTACGTAGTACTATTATATTTTTACTGTTAACATATTTTCGTAACTTTTGTACTGTTCGTAAACATATATGTAGCAATAATTTATGATCATGAAAGTGAAGTTGTGAACTGTGGTTTTATGGAGAGAGAATTAGCGCCACAGTATTAAAGCATTGTCAAGTTGCCATCTTCATGATTTTACTGTGATCAAGTAATATATAAATATATGAACCGTGTAGGTCTCTGTTTTCATAGGCAGACACAAAAAACTGTTTTATCAATATATATTTCAGTCCAATGGGATTAATTAGGACAATGTTGACCGAAAATAACATATAACTTTTGTACTTTTTTTTTTTTTTTTTTCCCAAAAAGCACTTTTGATTTCTCGATTAATTTCATCTATTTTTCGTTCATCTTTTTCTTTCTTTCTCTAATATTATTATTATGATTTCCACACGACCGGTTGAAGAAGATTGGACTATACTACACTACACTACTCATAATATGGGGGTGGAACTAAATGCCATCCTCATATGACATACTAATATAACTAAATTCTGATATTGGAAATATATATATATATATATATAATCATATTATTTTATATAATATATATATATAAATATAAATATTAGCGCTCGACAGTGATGTTTCTAGGTTTTAATTATTGATCAAATAGGGGTGTTGGGCATGTGTTCTCGCACATGCATGTTTCTTGGTGGCACACATTTCTGTTTGGATATTTTTTGTGTAACTTTTTCTTTCAAGATCTAGTACAACATGATGGGTCCTATATAAGTGTTGGGAACCCCCATTATATCCGGTCCTTAATTAATGGGCTATTCTATTTCGGATGCCATATTCAGATTATGCAATTAAGCAAAACAGTACCCTTAATTTCTTCGTTTTACAAATGGCATAGCTAAACATGTATACTTTAGCTGTCACCTAGCTATGATACATATTCCGCAGTGAAGAACCAATGTATATAAAATAATTGAGCTTATACACACTTAGACCAAAAAAAAAAAAAAGCAAACATATTTAATTCAAAATATAATGATGTTCCAAATGTTATATATATATATATATATATACCTTTTGTTGTAATAAAGTAAACTCTTAATGAAAACTAATTTGAACATGACAATGTTGTAAATAAACGGAAAATTCACGACACACCAACTAATTATAACCACTAAATGTATTCAAAATATACCCGTATATGCTATACTAGTGTCTAGAAAGTGGTTTTCCTACTTAAATGTTGTAATTTGGTATGATACTAAATTAGTAATGTATGGTGCCCTTACTAGTTACTAAGTATGTATACATATGTGCGAATGAATGGTTGAAAATGTATGTGTGTGTGTGTGTGTGTATATGTGTATGTATTCAATGCATTTAAGCTATAGTTAAAAATGGATTTGAGTTTGGTTAGCTAGGTAACGAAATTTTGGCTAATTCTAATCTAACAACGAAGAGATATATCATGAGATTAGTGGGGATCTCTAAAATTTGAAAGAGACAAGAGAGGAAAGAAGTACATGCAAATCATATAACCAGAAAAGCAAACATATAACTAGAATATAGAATCATCAGTTTGTTTGACATATTATCCAAATTATAAGTCATTCTATTTTCGGTATAGAAAAAAAAAAAAAAACAGAGAGAACGTACATTCTTTTCTTACTTTCGAATCTAATTAATTATACATCATTATCAAGAACTAACTTTAATTTTCGTCGATCAGAAATGCGACACCCTCTTCACAACATTTAAGCACTTTCTTATGGTCTGCATGGTCAAATACATGATGATCATGATGATCACGTCCTCTTGCCACCAACTCTTTAGCCTTGGCCGATTCTCTTTCCCAGTCCGTCTTGTACACCACAGTTAGTATGGACACGACGCAGGCGATCTGAGCCGCGAGAAGACCATAACATAGCCCCACAAAACCTAGTTTCCAGACAAACCCCAGAACAACAGCCACCGGAGCTCCGACGAGGTAAAAAGCGTAGAAGTTAATGGCGGCCCCTATGCCGGGCCTAGCAGTGCCTCGGAGAATCCCGCAGCTCGTCGTCTGCGGGCAATTCGCGAGCTCGCAAACCCCAATTATGGGCAAAACCAGCGTAGTCAGCTCCAAAACCTCGTGATCTTGGGTAAAAACCCTCCCCCAAGGCTTTCTCCCTAGGGTGGTCCACAACAACCCTACTAGTGAAGTAATTAGGGCTAACCCTACTGCCACTATGGCGGCAAGGCGAGCCTTGTTGGGCCGGCCCGCGCCGAGCTCGTTGCCTATTCGGGTCGAGACAGAAGCACTTAGTGAGAATGGCAAGGTGTACATGAGAGCCGTGGTTTGTATAACAATGGCTGACGTCGCTAGGGCAACCTTGGGATTAGGAAGATAACCGGCGAGAATGGTCATGAATTCATACCACCACCACTCTAAACAAACGGCCAAACAACTCTGTATTGCTAATCTAATTAGAACCCCCCAATTTTCCCATATTGTTGCGGTGGTCAAAAAAATGTTAGGCCACGACTTGGGAAAAAATGGCGTATTGATCATCCAATTATTGTTGTTGTTACAAGAATAATCCTCCTGCTCCTTAGGGGTATAACTACTAAAGTAGAGGTAAAATAAAAGAAAGAAGAGGGTGATGAAATTTGTGAGGAAAGTTGAGATGGCGATTCCTTGGACGCCAAGGGAGAGTTTGAAGGTCAAGAAAATGGTGATTGGAATGTGGAAAAACATGGCTAGTAAATTGGACCACATTAGAGGCCAAGTTGTGCCCTTGCTACGGAGAAAAATGCGCAGCGGGGGGAGAAGGCTGTTAGCTACAAGATCCGGGATGGCGAATCTGCAATACAAGCTTGCTATTCTTGTTATGTCTTGGTTTTGGCGGAGAATTAGCATCAAAGGCTCTAGGTTGAACCAAAGCAAAGCGATAGGGAAGGAGGCGAAGAGTAGGATTAAGACTGTTCTCTGGAGGGTGAGGAATGCCACGGCGTAGTTTTGTGAGCCGAAGGCCTGGCTGCAGAGGGGCTCCATGCCCATCGCGAGGCCCGAGAGGACCGAGTAGCCGGTGATGTTCGTGAAGCCGACCGCTAATGCGCCGCCGGCGAGCTCGAGGCTTCCCATTCTCCCCATGCACACGACCATCACCATGTTTCGGAGATAGTTCACGAGGCTCATGGCCGCTGTAGGGAAGCCTATGTCCGCCGTTGTTTTTAGCTCCTCCACCACCTAGAAAGATAGTTATGAGAATTAGAAGAAATGGAAATAAAAAGTAATTGATGAAAATCTGACAGTAAAATTATTTTTTTTCCTAGATCTGTTTGTAGAAATATGTATATATATATTTTTTCTGTTTGTGTATAAAATAAAGTTTTTCTGGAAAAGAACGTAGTGCGATCATGAAATATTATAAGGATTAAAGATGATGATCAATAGACTTATAAGAATTAATATATATATATATATATATATATTTTTGTACCTCTGCCATTGTCCGGTACTTTTGGAACTTCTCTTCTCCTACGTCTGCGACCATCTTTTTGTTTCCTTTGGTTTTCTTCTCTTGTTTAATTCTTGTGACTTTGAGAGAGAGAAGAGAAGAGAGAGAGAGAGAGAGAGAGAGAGAGAGAGAGAGAGAAGGTTCAGAGAAGGGTTTGAACTTAATGCACGAACGAGAAGGGTTCTTATAATAAGTTGGGAGTGGTTGGGCCAATTTCAGTACTGACATAATTTCCTGTAGTGGTATTGTTTAAACATATCATAAAGCTGGGGTAGAAGTTAGTATTTATCGTTCATTTTATCAATTTTAACTTTTAGCGTTAGATTTTTACGGTTAAAATTTTTTAGAAAATACACATTTAATTTTTTATGCTACAGTTAAATTTTTTTAAAAAATATGACATCTTAATTTAAATTAAAAACTCACATTTACAAAGTGAATAAGACCTAAATATATATATATATAAAATTTTTGATATTCGGCGTTAATGGGATGAAAACGGTATGCACATAAAACTTATTTAAACCGTGCGGCCACGCTACTATGTTCCCAATCGAGTTTTGTTAGTTTCCAAAATAAATAGAAACATACCCACTTTTTCTCTTTTAACTAACAATGTCATACTACAAAGAGTTTACTTAACGTGAGGAAATATAGCTGTTGTTGTCGTTATTGTTGCGTTTCTTAGTTTGAATTAGTTTTGGACTTCTAAGATTTGGAGGCGTGTATAGTACAAATAAAGTACTACTTTTGAAATATTTACGGCTAATTTTACCAATTATGGATAAATATTGTTATATGCGTGCAAACATAAAAATCATATATTAATAGGGTGGTAAGACCTTCCATCGATAGTGTACATTTTTTATTGTTGAATTTGATCAATTTGACAACTAAAACAAAGACCCATTAAGAGTTCATTTTTATAAATCCTACCATAAAAATCTCATTCGTTAATAATTAGAAAGAGAACCGCTTTCTTTGACATAAAATGAAGATATTGATATGAATAATAGCTGTCCACCTCAGTTAAAGTTACTATGTAAGTCAATTAAAGTTACTATTCATGGCAGAATCTTACTATGCAAATAGTAACCGTAAATAGTAAATATTATGCAAATAGTAAGTATTGTGCAAATATTAATCGTGAATAGTGCCAAAAACTTTCCTATAAATAGAGCTCTAAGGCTCTTTATTTTGTATACCTTCAAAAGACTAATGAAATTCTCTCTCTCTCTCTAAAGATTTTCGTCTTAGTTTTACATTTTTTTAGTTTTTATAACACGTTATCAATACGAACGTTCTATTCCTACTGCGATTGTCTACATTCATTAATTCAAAGAAATGAGGCTCTGATCCAATTACAAGCATCTACCTTAAAGTCAAAAGAAAGTAGGTCCTAACCCGAGTTCTACTACAAGTTTATACCCTTATTAGTTCAAGTGAAAGGTATGTAAATGTACTCTATTATTTTATATTCATACAAAGGAAGGTTATGCCACTAACGTATTATAATTTTTATAATTTTATCATTATACACCATTTGAAAGGTTTACTGAGTAGTTTGGCATGTTTGTACATTCTCATAGATGGATGGCTATGCCACCTGTAGGTAGTAATTTCTCGTTACACTTTCTACATGCATATTACTATTCTCATATGTTTAATTTTTTACATCATTTGAGGTATACAATTGTAATTTTTATTCTACTTGTAATGGTAATATAACGGATTTTTACATCACTATTAACGGCTACATAACGGCTATAAACAACTAGTTTTTACTCTATAAAATGTGAATTTCTTAACCCATGCAATTCACTTCTTCTATTCTCTTCACCTTTCTTAATATTTTTATCTTTCACTTCTCATATTCTCTTCACTATTCTTAATATAATCTTCATGATATAGCGAATATGATGATGATGTTTGTTATTTTAGTAGTCATTTTCTATATTTTTACTCTTTTTATTGGCAATCATTCTCCACACGATTTTCAGTTTTTCCTTACAATACTCATACTTGTAATATTTCTTCTTTTATTTATTGTTATTATAATTAACATGTAATTTTAATTATACTCTCTATTGTAATAATAATACTGTGATTCTTATTATATTGATGTTCTGTTATAATTATCACCATGTTGAATCTTGTCAAACTTGAGTTTGTGCACTCGACATCACGGGAAAATTATATGTCTTGGATCATAGATGTAGAAATGTGTCTAGAGTCAATTGGTCTAACCGATACCATTAAAGAAAATAATAACAAGTCACCACAAGAAAAGGCGAAAGCAATGATTTTCCTTTGTAAACATCTTAATGAAGGCTTGAAATGCGAATATCTCACGGTTAAAGATCCACTTGTCATTTGGAAAAGTCTGAAGGAGAGATATGACCACCAGAAAGAAGTCGTCTGCCACTCGCGATGAGTGGAATAATTTACGTTTTTAGGATTTTAACGACTACAACTCTGCCATGTTTAGAATCATTTTACAACTGAAATTTTGTGGAGTAAATATCACAGATGGTGAAATGCTCGAGAAAACTTACTCCACTTTCCATGTATCTCACATTACCATGCAACAATAATACCGTTTGCGCGGTTAAAAGAAATTTTCTGAGGTAATCTTAGCTCTTCTTGTTGCATAGAAAAACAATGAATTGTTAATGAAAAATCATCAGTCTCATCCCACTAGTTCAACGGCATTTCCATAAGCAAATGTTGCATTCTTTAAAAAGTTTTAGGATGAGAAAATATAAGCGTGGTCGTGGTCGTGGTCGCGGCAATAGTCAAGAACACGGTAGAATGATATGATCCAAAAGAAACATCATGATAAATGAGAAGATGTTAATGGAAGTTCTTCTTGGAATCCTAAAGGTTCTTGTTATAGATGTGATACTAAAGAATAACTGGCATCGATTTTGTTGAGCACCATAATACCTTTGTAAAATTTTTAAGGCATCTCTAAACAAGAAAGAAAAGGAAGTTAATTTTAATGAACACCACGACTCTATCAATTACTTAATTCATCTTGACATCACAAACTTTCTTATGATCTTATTGAAAGTGTTATTGGTAATAATTAGATATATATATATATATATATATATATGCTCAAACTTATTGATACTGTACTTGATTTTCATGAATGATGTGTTATGACCTTTGAGTAATTTTATGAAATGTTATGATATTGCTATCTCTTTGTGTGAAAATATGATATGGAAGGAATCGATGAATAATACCTGAGAATAGTACTATACGTATGAATAGTAACGTACTTGTGAATAGTGCCATACTTATGAATAGTATTATAGCATATGTTTTCATTTCTTTTTAAATTCAGTTGTATACTTATTTGTGATCTTATAATCATAAATTAACTTCTCTGTGGATTAATCTCGGATTCTCGAGTTTTATTAATGTCGAGGATATTTACATACTAGATAGTGGTACAATGCACATTATCCTTAAATATAAGGCCCTATAGGCCTGATTGAAAGTAGTATAGAATATATGTATGTTAGTACTAAGAAGTGCAAAGTAGAAAACTACACATTTTTTCATCAGAATTACATTACGGATATATAAATTTGATTGAATCACATATGGTAATTGAAAAAAAATCCTCATACGTTAATTTTATGGCATGATCATTTCGATCATCCTGGTTCAATAATCATGTGAAGAATAATTAAAAATCCATATGAACATTCATTGAAAGACTATAAGATCTTTCAAATCAATAAAATTCCATGTCAAGCTTGTTCTCTAGGTAAATTGATCATAAGGCTTTCACCAACTGAAATTGCGACAGAATCACCTACATTTCTTAAACATATTCAAAGTGAAAATATTCAAGGTGATATAAGTGACTCATACATCCACCGTGCAGACCATTTAGATACTATATCGTATTAATATATACATATATATATATATATGCATCTAGTTGAAGGTCCCATATTTGTTTATTATCAACTCGCAATGGACATTTGCGAGATTTCTTACTCAGTTAATTAGATTATGAGCACAATTTTTGATTATATACAATCAAGAAAGTTAGACTTGATAATGCTGGTGAATTTACATCTCAAGCCTTTAGTAATTGTTATGTCCATTGAGATTATTGTTAAAGACTTTGTTGCTTTCACAAAATGGTTCGTTTGAATCATTGATTGAGAGCCTTCGATAAATTATTAGATCATTAATAATGAGAACAAAATTTCCTATTTCTGTATAGGTCATGCAATTTTACATACTATTGTATTAATTTGCATCAAACCAGGTGTTTATAATAAGTACTTCCCATTACAATTGATATTTGGTCAAAAATAAAATATGTCTTATCTAATGGCTTTTAGTTGAGCAGTAAATGTCCTAATTGCTCCACCACAGCACACTAAGATGGATACTCAAAGAAAGCTGGAAATTTATGTTAGGTTTTGAAATCCTTTGCATAATTAAATTTCTTGAATCCCTAACGAATTGTATTTTTACAACAAGGATTGTTGATTTGAATATAAAATAATATTCCCAACATAAGGGAGACAAACGTAAGGGCTGGAAAAACAAAATGAAATTTTGTGGAATGCATCTTTGTTCCTCACACTTATTAATGTAAGTTAGAAGTACTTCAACGAATCAATTACTAGATGCATTTACTGATATAAAGAAAGCGACTAAATCATATACACATACACCAGCTGCTAATGTTCTAGCTCATATTGTTGTCCCTAATAGGAAAAATTTGAAAAATATAGCAGTAAATGAGTTTAAGGCACGCCTGCAGTGTGGTAGACTAATCGGTTCCAAAAAGATAAAAATCTGTGGAAGAGAAAAAGGAAAAGTTACATGAACTAACACTCCTAAAGAGATTGACACTCCTAAAGAGGTGATATTGAGAACCAATAATTGACATAAAGACCCTTGAAGTGGACCGGGTATCTGAAATACTGAAAATGTTGAGATCTCAATAAATTATGTCAATGCGTGTAAAGAATGGAACTATGATAAGATTTTTGTCGACAA